TACTACTTATAATGGTCCCTAAATAATAATAAAAAATAAATTACAGTGAAAGCAATGAAGATTTTGTAGGTTTGGAACCAAACTAAATAACAGTAAACCTTTTTTTTGATTTACGGTACGTATTTTCTTATTTTGATGTTTTGAGCTCTTTTGTGTTTAGAACAATATACGCCCCCCCAGTGGCACAGCGGCATGTCTGCGGACTTACAACGCTAGAATCCGGGTTTCGATACCCGTGGTGGGCAGAGCACAGATTGCCCATTGTGTAGCTTTGTGCTTAATTACAAACAAACAAGAACAATATATACAAATTTTTAAAGTATCAAATTGAATTTTTGTTCAATAAAAATCTTTCAAATGCGGCTTTAGCTTCCCCCCCCCAAAAAAAAACTTTGTCTTCAAAATAAGGGTGCGTCTTATATTCCGAAAAATACGGTAGTTTTATTTATTAAAACACAAACAATATGCACTAAAGCAGAAGTTAATATTGTTGCAAATTATTTATTTTACTAGCCGTCCTTAACCGGCATTGCCCAGGTATTACCAAATACCTGAACAGAGGGCCAATATTTAGCTATTTTCAAATTAATATTTCGTTTTCATGTAACAATACATGTCAAATGAATAAAAGTATTAAGACTGAAAAAGTATGAATAAGAAGTTAGTACAAACAAACATTTAAATAGAATCACTTCCACCAATAAGATCAATTCTAACAATTTTATGCGTGATTTCTTTTTTAAAATTAAAACAATAACAGTTTTGTAAAAACAGGTTAAAAAAACGTAGTCCAGAATAAAACCTAAACTCTTTTCCAGCCTCTATTTAATTAGTATAATTAATCACTTTCTCAGCTAGCGAAACTACTCAACTAATTTTGTAATATAAAATCAGAGACAATTTCTATGACAAGCACTAACACCTAAAGATGCTAACTTCTATAATAAACTATGTAAATTGCACAAAATGATGATCGGCAATTGCCTTTTCTATTACATTGTACTACGCTTAAAAATAATCAAGAAATTAATAGTTACATTAAACATACCATTACATACAGCTCAGGTGGTATCAGCATTTTAAAAATTGCGAGTACCCCGGTGGTTCAGCAGTAAATCTGAAAACTTATAACGCTAAAAATCAGGTTTCGATACACATGGTGGGCAAAGCACAGAAAGCCCATTCTGTTGCTTTGCACTTAACAACAAACAAACAAATAAAACTGTGAAAAACTTTTATTTTATTATATTATTTATATTATAGTATATAACACAATTATGAAACACGTAGAACTTTGATAACAATAATAGAGATTTAAAGTGGGAGTCTTAAGCATTATTTGTTTAAGAAATAGTAACTGAAATTTATTAATTTTATTTGCATCTTTTTGGGTTGGGGCTATGATTTTTTTCTATTTTAATAAACAGATAAACCAAAGGTTACTGATTGACATTTCTCGAAGGAATTAGCTAGAATTCAATTAGTTTTTTCCCTAGCGGAGAAGCACCAAATTGTCTCGTATAAGTCATTATAAGACCCGAGACTATCATCTTTCGGAAAAGCTATAGTATCACTATCAGTGCTTAATTTATAATAAACAGAAGCACAATTCTTGTAGTGTATAGTTTATACTTAAATTAATATTTCAAGTTTAGATTGCTTTGAATTAACTGAAAATGTTTATATATGCTTACCATCTATCACTTTGGTAAGTTTGACTAACAGATTTTCTGCATGCTTTTTTCATATTTATTGTAATATGTGTGAAACTGAAACATTTGTTTTGACTCGTTTAACTTGTCTCAATGTCAGTCAGTTATTTTAATAAGAAGTAACTTTAAAATCTATTTGTAAGCTTAGTATTTAATTAGCAAGAAAAATAGCTCAAGCTAGAGTAATTTGAATAAAAGATTAATTAAACACCTATACCTTCATGCCATTATTGATATTAATGAATTATATTGTTAATATTAAATTGAACGTTATATTTCCTGCACACTGCACATTTTGAAAAGAAATTGAAATAAAAGACTATGGTTTCCACTTCCACTGTTCCAATGAAAATTATTAGAATGTGTTGGGGCTGTAGTATAATATGAATTTATTTACTTTCATGTAGTAGCAACAACTGTGTATTAATAATAATATTATACATAGTGAATAGTATATTCACCCATACAGTTGAAATTTGTGACAGACTTATTCTTCAGTATGTAATGTAAGCACAGAATAGGCCAAATTCAAATTAACAGTAAAGAAAGATCAAGAAGATGGGTTAGAAATGATTGTAAATTAAACACTGAACAGTTGCTGGCAGTGAACTTTTTTCAGAGTTTATTTTACTAATGTTTCTTAACTAAATAAGTGTAAACTGGAAGGGGAAGTTTATTATTATGCCAGCCGTGAACTGCTGCCAACTATGGAGTATGAATGACAATAAAGTTGTTACAAAAGTTTCTTGTATTCTAATACATGTAGTGAATAGGAATAGAATACATGTTAAGTTGGTAAATTAAAATATTACAACATTTACGGCTCTCTGTTTTGAAAATAAAAGTATTGGAATACTACAGAATATCATATTTTAATCAATAATGTGTAATGTACACAGTACTGTAAAGTAACATCCAGCAGAAAAAAACAAACAAAATTGAAGAATGTTTACCCATGGAAGTGGAAAAAACTATTGCATTATCATTTATAATTTACAAGGAATATTTTTGGCTTTAATATGTTGTAACAATTCCTTTGTAAAATAGCAACAGTTTCTTCACTCATGTTTTTATTCACTTATTTTTTATACAGAAAAATAAGAACTTATATAGTAAAGTGAGACTAAACATTGTTTGAAAACTTGCCTCAACTTATGCTAAAATATTATGATCCCTAACCAGAGAATAGCACTTGTATGGATGCCAATATAACAACCCTTTATTCTATATTAGGAATAACCAAAATGCTATTACCAAGATTCGTATAAACAAGACAGTATTTATTTGATCTTTTCTTAAATGAAACAAAATATACTCATAGTTCAAAATGCTATTATCAGAGTTTACAAACAATGCATCTTACTTTCAAAGAACTTTTAACTTAATAATATAATCTTGAAACAACTTCAAAACTTCTAATTCAACTATGTAACTTAGGCACAACTTCAGCAGTATAAGTTTGGCACAAGAAAGTAAGAAAAAAAACCAGTAAAAAAAAGGAACAGAAAACTTCAAAATTCATTCACAAATCTGTTTGATTGTACAACACTCACAAACTTTTAGATTAATTATAACTCGTGGCACTTTTAAATTTTCAATCAATATCCAATGTTTTCTATGTTCTGGAGTGTGTGACATATATGTTGTTAATTGTTATTTTTTTTCTTTTATTCTTTTATTTGCTACCAGGTTATAAGATTACAGATCAATTTGGGATGAGTATTGGCTGTTAACAAAATATCTGATAAATTTATTTATATAAAGTCACAATAATTTACATACAGTCAAGTACTATAGCTATCAACACAAAGACTCATTGTCAGTCATTTTTGTTTTATTTTAAAAATAGTATTACTGTACTATCTCTAATGATGTAACTAGCATTATGCATAAAAAAACTCAAGACGAAGCTCAAATAAATGATAAAGAGGTTTGTAAATATGAAAATAATAGACAAAAGTGAAGGAATGCCATCTTACACTCCTCCCCTTTATTTAAAAAAGTGATAGATTTAAGCACTTCATACACGAGTCCAATTTTCATATGAATTGTACTTTATGAACAAATTGGCACTAGGCACCAATTATGGTGCTATCTTTACACAAATTGGGGCTGGTTTACCCAAAGTTCAATTCTACTTACCAGAATGAAAGAAAAATGACTTATTTTGTATTATATATTACATGCTTTATTTCTCTTTCTGCTTTGGCTTGGATTCTGAATACCAGAACACTAGAAAAATACTTGTTTGTATTTATGTTACATATTTATCTTCCTGCTCTGGCTCAGGTTCTGCTTACTATAACAGTATTGAAACAAAAATGTGTGTTTACTGATGTCTCAATTAATTATTTTAGTCCCAGATATTATTGTAAAAACATTGTTGAACCATATGCATATGTCACAGCTTGATACGTTTACTTTATTCATACTTCAAAACTATAGCCGAGTGATTAACTCGATGAAAGGATATAACCAGTTACCTATGATCATTGATTATGTTGATTAATGTCATGTTAAGTATTTGACTGATCAAATAATATTTTCAGTTATTCTTACCACCCATGGATGAATAACTAATTACTGTAAATTGAATGTGATAGATTCACTTGAATGTGCATGGAGTTGGTCCATTGGATTTTATGACATGCTCATTAGTCTGTGATGATTTCTTTGACAGGTCTATTCCCAGTTGTTATTAATTTATGTTTGGGGTTTGATACTTCATCGCAATCTCAGAAATGCTACTCATCTCTCTGCACTACAAAGAGCTATTACTTTTTGTATACTGTCACATAAATTACTGTGCACAACCCAAGCCTTGAACAAAGCTCCTACCTTTACATGTTTCAGTGTGTATTGAGTCAGCCTATGATGTAATTATCATAGGACTTACATTAGACTGTAGCCCTCTACCAGTAGGAAGGTGAAACATCTTTCATTGGCAGTAATCCCCATGAGCACTAGCATTTTAACACAGCCTTATTCTTTCCTTAGCACTGCTTTTCTTCAGATATGGCATTGTCATAAGATTTACTGAAATTTCTACACTTATTGTTTTAATCTTTTATTATTATTTGTCATGTAGTCTTTCTTGATCGTATGAAAAATGATACTAAGTTTTAAACTTATTGGCTACAACTTTCCTTTAGCTTATCTTCAATTTGATTTTTTTTTAATCAACTTTGTACTTTGAGTCATGTCCCATTATTTCTTTTTGTGTTTACTTCAAAGTATGGATTTTATCCAGTACTCTTTAAGGTCTTCATTAGTTTTATGTACTATTGCTATACCTGGCTCATTCTATTTTAACTATAAAAACTTCCATCTTATAAGTATTTTACAAAAACAGACCACTACAACATCAGTTTCATGAATTAACTTGATTATTTATTTATGTTCCCACATTTCTGACATTTCACAAGGTTTAACACTCCGTCACAGAGGACATCCAATACTGTCTTGATAACTGGAGACCCTCACAGTCAGTGATATTAGTGCCATTGTGCACCACATGGTTGGTTTTATTTTGATCTCAGACCCAGGTTCCCCAACATCCTACTTCTATTAACTGTTACTTCAGTTGAGTCTACCCTATCTTGTGTTTCCCCAATGTTGTTTCCATGCCTGCTTTAATTTTTCAATCCATCTTCCCTACAGTGATCAGGTAGTTCCATTTTTACCCTTCAATGTTGTATTCAACAGTTGTGTCTTTTGTTTTCTTTTTTCTGAAGTAATTTTTTGCAGTGTCTGGGGCCCCCATGTTGCAAAACCTCATTCACCTGAATTTTTTTTTTCAGTTTATGGATATTATCTTTTTCCATCTATTCATCTTCATTTCTTACTCAACTTTTTCTATTCATTCATGTGTTTCCTATGGAGTTTTTCCATCATGATTGTATCAGCTTTACTGAAGCAACTTGTACACACCTGTTTTCCATTTTGCCCTCATTTTCTCCAATTTTTGTCCCAGTTTCTTTGATTTGGCTTCTTTATTTATGAGATGGACCTAGTCAGGTTGCCTTACTTTATAACTTTTGCTTCTCTCAATCTTCTCTTCAGGTCATCTGTCTTGCATCATTTTTTACAATGTGCTTTTTTTGGGGAGATATTTCTTATACATTGGCATCTCTTCTCATTTAGTTTCTTGCCCTTGGGACCATAGAGTCCCACCAGATTTCTCATCATATGGTCCAATCATTTTCATTGTATCCAGTAGTTTTGTTTTACTTTGAGGTTACATTCTTGAGGCTTGTTCCACTACTCTATGGACATTTGGCCTTTACTTGGCTGTTCCAGTGTGGCTTTATTGTGACCTTCTTCAGGAGTAATCTCATTTTGGGAGACTGGTTTAGCTCTCTCTTTCAGTCTCAACCCTCACCCTGTATTTTATTCACTTGGGGTCTCTCTCACTTTGTAAGTGGGGTAGGCTCAGTCAGTAATGTCTTTGTGACATGAAGATTTTGATACCAGGGCTCTCTTGTCTCTTTGAGTTTTTGGAGGACTTTTCTCTTGATTCTCTTGCTCCTCTTGGATATGTTCATGTGTGTGCTCTTTTTGTGGATTCCTCTGACCTGTCAGTTCAGGCATCTTAAGAGATATACTATTTTTTTCATTTTTTGTGGTCATGGTGCATATGGAGCATTTAAAGGTTTGTAAGTCAGTCTGTATGCTCCTCCTGCTTACATATGTAGGTTTCTACATCCATGGTGCATATAGTATATGTAGCACTTTATGTTGGCTTTGCACTTGATTACAACCAATCCTACAACCACACCTTTCCATTGCGTCCATTTTGGTGGGGTGCAGTTCTGAGTACCTGATCCATTTCCAGCATCTGGTCTCCAGGGTCGAGGTTTCTTTGTCATCAAACTGGTTGCTATCCTTCAGGCTTGTCATCATCAGATGTCTTGTCTGTCTGTTCCATTCAGTCACCTCAGTTGTTTTTTTCTCCCTCCAACAGGGAGGTACTTGTTCCTAGGACTCCCCCCCCCCC